TTGTATTGGTAGAAAAATGTTCCAAATATATCTACAATGAATGATGAGTCATTCTTGTTTTTAGTGTATATAGATATAGTGTTGTTTAAATAAACAAAGATTAAACAATCAATCAATCTCTCTCTATTCACCTAATCATATTAGGTCTCAGAACTTGCGTCTTATCCTAAACATTAACTGAGTAGTAAATGGAATTCAGTCCACTTTTGGATAAATAAAAACAAGGTAAACTTTTGATTTCGCATAGCGGAACAAAATGAATAGCCATCTGGCTAAAATATGCCCCTGACCGTAGGGATCATTGAAAGTAGACAAGACAAATGAATTCACCTAGTAAACCTATTGGAACTAACCAGTCAGTCCAGCTACTCACTCATAGATTCTTTTGACTATTTCAATTCCATTGAAAACGTCAACTTTTTTAATCAAATCGTGCAGGTACCTCCAGATGACGAGTCCCAAATAGGACGAAATGCATAAGCTGCATTCAACTGTTAGTCATCATCCGCCAATTAAATCGTGCTTTCACTAGATTTGATTCACTTGTTTACGAATGTCCCATTAATTTAAACATTATGCTACATGTGTTGTGGACGTATTGACCCAATGAGTTTAGGCATTGAAGCGCCTATTTCCTGTTTAAAGGAATTCCTCTTTGAGTTTCACCCTAAAAGGCCCATTGGTTGCAGATTTCTTCATGTGAAAACTCGAAGAAACACACACTTAAAGGAAATGATTAATACCGTCACGTTTTACAAGCCATATTTAGATGGAACTTTTGTTACCTCAGGTCTGGATTATTCTGGATTATCTTAGTAACTACCACCCTACAGTCCATTTCACATTAGAGAAGGAGTCCGATTCAAAAGCAGCTTTCTTAGACGTTCAACTCACAAGACGTGAACAAAATAGAACACTGAAAAGATCCATCCACAGAAAGTCAACATGCAATGGGTAGCTCACAAACTTGTACATCTAGGTGCCTTTTTATAAATAAAATGAAAATGTATCCTCTCATCGAGTCACACAGCCCACAACATTTGAAGCCCTGATTCCTTAGAAGAGGAGTGATCACCCCGAAAGGCATTCCTATTGAAAGTGGCTAACCTGAATGCTACATCCCAAGACACACCAATAAAACGTACACACTTTTTCCCTCCCCAAAACATCTGTCTAGGTATCTGCAATCCAATATAGAGATTTCTATATGTCCAAAACAAATTCACTTTTAAAAGTTTGAAAAAATTTGGGCTTTAGGTATATGATATTCATTATAATAAGGGCTTTTTTGTATTTCCCAATGAGTGAAAACAAAACGATATTGTTTTCACTGACATTTCACTATTTAATGCCTCTAACAGCTTTATCAGCTCATATATTACAACTTAATCATCGCTCCTCAGCATGGGGTCATTTTTCCGTTGTCAAGTTGACCAATCGGTAAGGATAACAAATCCAGGTGTAGATTGTTAGATTTGATAAGTGAAACCATAGCAACACCATTTGTCTGTCTATATAAATTCCCTTTAAATGTAAAATAATTACTTTCTAAACAGAATTTTAAGCTTAATTAATTAATTATTTCACTGGTGTCCAGTGGACATCTTTGTGATAGTGTTGTGTCTGACTCTAGTAATGCTTGCTTGGAATGTGATAAGATATACATCAGACAAACATCACCAGAGAGAAATCAAAATCAGAAGAAATGAACACCGTAGAGTGAGTGCCTGTTCGAACACCGAGAAATAAATCCAGTTGAACTGGAAAAGCTTGAAAAATCATCAGTCAGCCATAGGTCGTCTACACGCTACGCTATAGAATCAGGCCACAAAATTCATTTTGACAATATTGAAATCATCATCCAGAAAAAGCATTTCAGAAATCACAAAGAATGTCTAATATCATCGGAAGCACTTCATATCATCAAATGGAATCCAAATTGTCTGAATAAGAATATTGGACTAAGACAGAATTTGACCTGGTTACAACACCCCACCACCGCCATCATCCATGAAATGACAAAATCAACATGAATGTGATAAGCAAATTCATTATGTATACACACTCTGCTTTTGTATAATTTTACACACTTACAAATCCAAAAATCTACACCTGGTTTTGTTATATTTACCTATTAGTCAACTTGACAACGAGAAAATGATCCCATGCTGTGGAACGATAATTAAGTTGTTATATATGAGCTGAGTGAATTTTGTAAATTCTGGTTTAATATCACTACTTTGATAGAGCTATTAGCAGCACTAAGTAGCGAAACGTCAGTAAAAACAATATCGTTTTGCTTTTCATTGATTGAGAAATACAAAAAACCCTTATTATAGTGAATATCATATACCCAATGCCCGGATTTTTTCAAACTGTTAAAAGTGAACTTGATTTGGACATATATAACTTATTATCACTATTATTATTTTATCTAATCGCTATGTGACAATTGTTATTTTCCCCTACTAGTATGCACAACGATAACTATTAAAAGACTTAGGGGGAAGGAGGAACTTTCAGTTTTATACATTCATGTAACAATGGTCAATTTAAGGAGAGTCATTAGATGAACCACTCCTGAACACACAGATTCGGTTTCTTCTGATGGATTCCAATAACATCAACTGTATGTAGAAGACGAACTCGTGAAGCGAAATTATTATTGATCAGAGTGTGATAAATAACTTTGAATGCTTCATTAATATCAACGCTATGTTCACCACCTACATGGTGTGCTAAAACAGAGTTACGAATAGATTTTGTTTGTCCCTTGCTTAACCATCCAGGATGATGCTTGGAAATCTGATGACGAATCAGGCTAATTGTAAGCCCAATGTCATTAGCTCTGTAGGACCAGTCAAACTGGTAGATAAGGGATTTAAATGTGAATGATAAATTCATGATATCGTCTGACGTATCATTTCTCTTCACTAGTATATGCTTATCGAAACAGTGGATCTTATATGTTACAAGACTTATTAAACGAATTACTGACATCATTATTTCTGTAGTCTTTATGAAGTAACTTACTTTACGATGTGCAATGGATGTTCAATTCTTATTCAATAAGGAATTCTATTGAAAAACTGGTAGTGTGGCTTTAGATTCACCACTAGGAAATAGTGATAGAAGTGTCCATAACCTTGTCAGTGTTCTACACAGTTGCTGCAAATGTGCAGAAGCTACTTGACTACTAGTGTGGTGACAGCTGGCTGCTAGCCAAAGTTGATAGATAGTAATTGACGTCAATGCTTATGTCCCCAATATTGGTGGTGAGAAAATGAGAACAAAGGCTTTGCGTAGGCGGATACAGTTAGCATATGGATGATCTGACACAGCCACAAAGAGATGCAAGGTTAACTTTCTGTGAGAAACAATCAATCAAAAGACTGTATTTTCTGTTAACAATAATCTACAATAATGTACATTAAAATCTATAAATAAGTGTTGATTTTCCTTAATAAACGGTCTGTTGCCTGGCCCTTGTCTTCTGTTGTTATACCAGTAGTAAAAAAGGAATCACACCTAGAGGTATTACAAAGTTCGCAAAGAGTAAGAGGATGCACCACCAGTTGCCTTCAAGTGGTTCTCCAACTGAAAACTTAATAAAAAAAGAAGGAAAAAATACTGTCAGCAGTAAACATATTTGTAAGATGCCAATTTTTTAATTGCCTAAATGTTCAACTTTAAATTTACATTTCCATCTGGTGTACTGAATCTCTTCAGTTCATTGGAACCAACGATGGATCATTTTTCAGCAAACTTTGATTAATATCCACTTCACCTTGACACGATGGACTCCTACAGGTGACGACTCCTCTGCACATCTTCAGGACATCCACCCAGTAGCTAACAATAAGTTGCAGACTGATTTTTAGATTACAGAATTTGTGAGGATTTAAGCGTCCCAGGTTCAAATCTCAGGGGGGTTTTGGGTCCACAATGATGAAAAGTTTCAAAACAGAGTGAAACAGTTGTCCAGTGCTCTCTAGTTTTCAGTGGTCCCTCTAATTGATGTTGGTTGATTCGGGACGAAATCTAACAATTTAAATGAAATTAATTCAAATCCCTACAAACCTCATTTTTTTTTAAAATTCCTTTGCGTTCCGAGTTGAAAACGGGGCTTCAAGCTTGAGCTTTGAATTTTAAGCAGCAGTGGTGACTTTTACGGAGTAGGGTCTCTAGCTTCACACCCAACCTCCCCTATCTTTCTCGGACTTACAACTTGCTACGGGAGGTAAAGATGTGCACCGGTCGGAAGTCGAAACCTAACCATATGCATGGTAGGCTAGCATCCTACCGCTGAGCCACAGACGCATCTAAAAACCTCATAATCGGAAAGAAAAAATGATGAATAACTGAACAACTGAGGGTGTAATATTTCTATTTTATTAAATAGACACGTATACGTATAATTTTAAACATACATTTTTGTCGCCGTTTTAGAAACGGACGGATATACTGAAATGTTTATTTACTACACAAAGATTCATATATGTGTAATATGCTTTTGCTTTATATATGATATGTTTGAGGTTATCATATAGCTGTATGTATATTCACGAGGTTAATTGAAACAAACAAGATAAATAAAGGATGACGACAATGATAGAATATTTTTCTTTTCACAAAGATGTTGTACCTTCGCCTCACTTCAGTGAAGGCTATACACACACACACAAGAGTTGTAAAGGAAATTAGAAATTAAAAACTGAAACAAGAACTTGAAATAATTTCCACATAAAAAAGGATGAAGAGAGAGACCAGGAAAAAGCACACAAAAAATAGATCTATAGAATTTACTTTATAAGTAATAAACAGAACGTTATAAGAAAAGAGAAACATTCTGATGCTCTGAAGTTGTATGTTTTTCAATTGTTCAAAAAGACGAATGTGATTAATCACTCAAATGTTTTCTTCAAATCTCCTTCTTCTGCTATTACTGCTAGATAATTTTCAGAATCCATATCGTTTTAAACGGGTAGAAAACAAAAGTTTTAGCCCATTGGAGTTAATTTACCAAATTGCATAACCTTTCTTTCTACTTGAGATAAATATTTATCAGGTATACCAGCTTCTCTGAAAACAAAACCGAAAAAAAAAGGTTTATTATAGACAGAATCCATGAATTTGAATTGATAAGACAGATGATGTGTAGCAGTGATAGAGGTATATAGTGAGATTTCACTATACTTTTATATCCCCTTGCAACTGAAGTATTTGCGAATAAGGTGCGCATTCTGACTATCCAAAACTGAATAGCTTTCTGTCCGACATAAGCCAGTGGTCTAAACTCTTGAATCTTAACTATAGTTCTTCAGTAGGGCAAATAGTGTATCACTGAGTCAGCTCATCACTACTGTTGTCGCCAGACACCTGAACTCATGTGAGAAATGGGCTAAATCTATGCTGTCTGACTCTCAGCACCGTCTTTATTCACAACTCTCCCCGACTTGTATCTCATCACGTAGGACCAGAAGTCAGTATAAAAGATTATATGTCCGCTAGCACAACTAAGTACTGAAACTCCACGATATCCTATTAGGCCCGCGTTCTGTGTGATAGAGAAAATGTTAAGCGTGAATCCTGTAACTTACAACGTAATCTGCAAAATAAATGGCTCTTTAATCATCTATTTGTAATTTATGGTGTCACTATTACAATTATCTTATAATTTTAGTTATTATCATTATATACTTTCTGTATATTTTTGTTATCATTCCCTTGGGTTCTGAGTGTAACATGGGGCTTCAACATTACATCTCCACTTTGTTCAACTTTTTGCCATCCTCTTCAACTGGGCCCACGACTGACCAAACTCTCTCATCTCTTTCTCACACCATGTCCTCCATGCCACCCTTGCACTGATGACCCACTCGTCGCTTCCCACTGGGATTTCATTTGAGAGCCTTGCGCGCAATGTCATTTGACGGTCTCCTCAGCGTATGCCCTATCCATCTCCATTTTCTCCTACATATTTGTTGAGAGAGCGGCTCTTGGTTGGTTTGTTCGCATAGTTTCTTGTTGCTTATTCTTTCCCACCATTTGATCTTCAGTATGGAGCCAGCGAAGGTATCTATTGAGGAAAGTCTGCGACAAGCTGTCGGAAATCCTTTTCGTGACACACTGTCCAAGTTTCTGACCTGTTTAAAAGGACATACTTGATATTGGTGTTGAAAATGCGAATCTTGTTCTTTATTTATGGTGGTTGAGTGAAGAAGGTTTCCAAATTGGTTACAGGTTGATGAAAGCATATCTTGCCTTTCAGATTCTGGCTTTTGTTGACATCTCCATCCGTTCAGCGTGCCTGTAGCTGAAACAATGCTTCCTAGGTAAGTGAAGGGGGTAACCTCTGTTAAATCTCTCCAGTTGATGGTGACTGGTGCTAGCTGTTGTTCTTGGTTTGTTATCTTCATTAATTCCGTCTTCTCTATGTTCACCTGAAGTCCTGTCTTGCACATTTTTGAATTTATCGTTACTGCTAATGCCAAAAAAATAAGTTGCTGTTATCTGTTTTGGTCACACATGCCATGTAATGTTTTTTCGAGTGAATAAGATGCAATGTTGTAAGAAATGCTGAGAATTTCATGCTGTATCACAAGTACTGTTTTGAAAAAAATGCGTATCACTATTATTATTATTATTATTATTATTATTATTATTATTATTAAGTGCATCATGCTTGAAAGCTTGAAAGGATACTGGCATTTGGAAACCGCTCGCATTCTGAGCCACGATTACTGCTTAAGGACTGATGGTAATACCTAGTTTCCTAGGCCAAAATAAGTACAGCAGGATTCAAAATCGAGATGCAGCTTTGTAAAAGTCGAGTACCCAAAGCAATGAACCGGTTCTCTAACGTTCTGTATAAGAATCTGTTCTCTCTAGAATCACTGAGACTATTTCACTTTTACCGTTTGAATTAGTGAATTGTGAATACCCATTTATATTGTGATTTCATTGACCCTCTACCAGGTTTATCATTTTAAAGCATATCAAGAGGATTTAAATGATACGCTTAGGGGTTAATCTGTCAGATCACCGATTTGACAAGAATCATTCTGGCGCATTAAGTCTTCTTGCGCTAATTGTCATTGCTTGAAATTCAGAAAACTTTGCTAAACTAAGACTATCTCAACTTAATTGCAATTATACATTTAAATTATTATTATTGTTCCTTTGGGTTCCTAGTAGAACATAGGGCTTCAGCTACACGTCTCCACTTGCTTCTGTCTTCTACTGTACTTTTCATCTGCATCCATGTTAATCCATACTGTTTCAACTCCTCTTCACACGATCTCCTCCATGTCACCCTTGGACGTCCCACTCGCCGCTTCCCTTTCGGGTTCCACTCGAGCTATGACCTGACGCGCGATGTCACCCAGCGGAGGCCTCCTCAGCGAGTGCCCAATCCACCTCCACTTTCTCCTGCATATTTGTTGAGCGATTGGTTCTTGTTTTGTTTGTTCCCATAGTTTCTTGTTTGTGATTCTTTCCGGCCATCTGATCTTCAGTATAGAGTCAGCGAAGACAGTTGTTGATAAAGGTCTGCAACAGGCTGTTGGAAATATTCTTGGTGACCCGCCAAGTTTCTGATCCGTATCGAAGAACTGACTTGACGTTTGTATTGTCAGTTCTTCTATACATTTAAATGCTCACTTCCAATATAGTAGGCCGTGTATCTATATCATCAACAGCTGCCTTTGCTGGATCCATATTGAAGATTAGATGGCCAGAAGGAATTAGCAACGAGAAACTTTGGGAGCGAACCAACCAAGAACCTATTACTCAACGAATATGCTCAAGAAAATGAAGGTAGATGGGACACACGCTAAGTATACGGTCGAAAAACACTGCTCGCTAGGCCATTGCCTGAGCGGAACCCCAATGCGAAAAGACAAGTCGGGTGTGGTTCTGTGAGTCGCATGGAGGAGAAAATGAGAGACAGTGGCAATGGTGGGACCAGTTAAAGAGGATTGCGAAGAATAGGACAAAGTGGAGGTGTGCTGTTGAAGCCCTATGTTCCACTCGGAACCCAAGGGAATAATAATAATATCATTATGAAGTATGCGACTCCATGAAATCAAATCAATAATTAGAAAATGCCTGCAACATAACATCTCGGAAATTTAAGTGATTGGGACGGAATATTGGAAAAACAAAGGAATATTAGAAATTTATAACGGTTACAGTTTTCAATTTACCTAGAAAGTGGATAAGTGTGGAGTAAGTACCAATACTCCACAGAAAAGAATAAATTTTTTTATGTACTGTTAGTCAAATACTAATTGCAATCACTGCTGAGTACCTCCCCCTCTAATTAATGATCATGATCTTATTTGCTTACAGGTTAGAAAAATTTTACTGAACAGATTTTATAACACACACAAATGATCAACTTACTTCAATTCTTTCAGTTTACGCATTTTTGCTTCATTCAGACGTAATCGTCTTAATCGTGCTTCTTCATTCAATCGCACACCTTCTTCAAAAGCTGCATTTCTCTCAGCGATACGTTCTCTTTCTTTCTCACATATCTGACGGCGAAGATCTTTCAAGTTTTGAGCACTTTTCATTTTAGCTTCATTATCAGCGCGTTTATCATTTTCTAACAGTTCCTGTTGTCGTCTTGTAAAATAATAATAATGATAATAACAGTACTAATTATTGTTATGACTATAACCTTATGGAAATATTAATTATCAAAAGTTGATTTCCAGGGATTCGATCGGCCACAGGATTGATCACGAGCTGACATTAGTTAGAGAACCATCGGAAAACCTGAGAGTACTGGATAGCTGTTGCATCCTAGTTTAGGACTCTTCAGTGGTACACACACTGAGGACCGAACTCAGGACCTCCTAGTTACGAGGCGAGCTCGTAGACTACTCGTAGTCACTGGGACCTGACCAACTGATCCATAAATTCCAACTTCTGCCAATATGTGATTTATATTTATCGCAACTTTTACTCGGTACTGCAGGCGAGTACCTGTCCTGTAGCCTGGTTTGGTGGGCTGCGCTGTTGATGAGGAGTCATAAACTAGGACGAAACATCTGTCCAGTACTCTCAGGTTTGAACAAAGCAAGAACTACAGTTTTAGGAGAATAAAATAGTACCATCTTTTATTTCGTTGCCCTCTTGTCAGCTGCTTACAGAGCAAAGACATTATTCAATGTATGTACAAAAACAATTTTAACATACTTGCACAGAGTCATGCTTCACACTTACTAAGATTATTCAATGATGCACACACCAATATTGAGTTCACTATGGAACATGAAAGTGACGGAAAGTTTCACTTCCTTGACATCGCCATGGGACGCCAAGAAGACGGTAGTCTTCAAAAGTCAATTTATCGAAAGCCTGCATGGAAAGGACAATACTTACATTTTAATAGCTATTGTCCAAATAGCTTTAAACGTGGTCTAGTCAACACTCTGTACTATAGAGCAAGGAGAATATGCTCTATAGAGAAATTAGAGGAAGAATTTGAGTTTCTTGAAAAGATATTGAAGAGCAATGGGTACACTCAAAGGTTAATCAACAAATATGGAAGATCTGAAGTCACAAATGTAAAACAAATCACAGTGGGAAAAAAGCCAATCTACTTTCAGTTTGATTATGAAGGTGAAAACATTTCAGCGATGATCAACAGAAGGCTGAGCACATCAGTAGCCATAGCCTATCCTGCAGCTAAGCTCGTCCCCATCTATCGAACAACTTGCTCTTTGATGCAATCAAAAATCGATAGATATCCTTCCCATGTTAACTCCAACTGTATATACAAATTTACATGTATCTGCGGGAGCAGTTACATTGGAAGAACAGAAAGAAGGGCATATCTACACAAACTACAGTCAACAGATTGTAAATGACTTCTGTTTGGCAATTTTCGTTGCCTTCCCTTTTCGACAAACAATCTCTCAGGCCACAAAAATGTTCCCTTTTCAGATTAACAGAATTTTTAATACTGGTTTGTAAACAAAAACAGACTAATCTTTTCTGCGTCCATCAAAAATGACTTCAGTTGAAAAGAAAAAGAGGATTGATAGTTCGATCAACTGATAATCAATCTCTCAAGGACAGAGAAACAAAAAGAGAGTCAATGAATTTGGAGGTGTGATCACAGATATCTTATGAATTATTTGTTAATGATAAATGTTAATAAAGAGATAGAATGCATTAGTCATAGTTTGATTTAAACAGCTTGTCGTCTACATTACCATTTTTAGTAAAAGTTTTCAAGTTTCAATATTTTAGAAAAGAAAAGAAAAGAAAACCAACAACAGTATCCTGCGTTGTTTAACTATTTAGTTATCAGCAGCAAAAGGCTAATTCAATTGGGTAAATAACAAACCCTTGAGACAAATACTTCTTGCTTATATCTTGACGTCATTTATTTTATTACTATTCTCTTTCTGTTTGTATGCCTTTTTGAAACAGAAAAAAACAACAACAACAAACAATAACAAAAATGTGACAGTAAGAAGTGACGCATTCCCATTCAGTTATCCATTATCAAACTGTAAACAGTCTATTCTTTCTTTTTCACATAAAACATGATAGATAGATGAACAGATAAGTAAAAATATGAAACTATAAAAACAAAATGAAAGCATTAAATATAATAAAAAGTAGATACTTTAAAATTCTTTCAAATTCAAGCCTTTCACGACCAGCTTCAATGGCTAGTTGACGTTTTCTGTCTTCTTCTTGAGCTGCCCTGGCTAGCTTCAATTCATTTTCAGTTTCAATCTTTTTCTGTGCAGCTAATAATTCTTTACGTCTCCATTCTCTTTCACTTGCTTCAGCAGCACGTTTAGCTCTTAAAGCATCACGTTCTGCAGCTTCATCTGAGGCCTTTTCTTGTAATGCACGTAATCTTGCAATTTCTAATTCTTTCTCGTGTTTTATGCGAGCTTGTTCAGCTTCATAGGCTGCTTCACGTTCCTTTTTGGAGAAAGGTAAAACAAAAAGAGCATTGTGAAGACAAGAAAATAACCCAAAACACTGAGGTCGAATACAATTTCCTGTTGTTTTGGTTTATTTGATATATCTCATAGTGTAATGGCATATGATAAAATAATTGGGAATGGATCTTTTTATTAATGAAAAACAAAATATTTATACATTTTTAAACAGATTCAAAGTCGGTTAGATCACCGTACCATAGATTGTTCTGATTGTTTGGCGATTGGCCCAAGGTTAATTTAAGTGTAGAACTTGGGCACTGTGGTAGAATGTTTTGACATATTAGATAATTTTATTGTAATAAAGGTTTTTGTATTTCCCAATCAATGAAAAGCAAAACGATATTGTTTTTACTGACGTTTCATTATTTAATGCTGCCAATAGCTTTATTGTTAAACCAGAATTTACAAAATCCACTCAGCTTATATATAACACACTTAATCATCGCTTCTCAGCATGGGGTCATTTTTCCGTTGTCAAGTTGACCAATTGGTAAAGATAACAAAACCAGGTGTAGATTGTTGGATTTCATAAGTGTGTAAAATTATACGAAAGCAGCGTATGTTTACTTAGTGAAATTGCTTATCACATCCGTGTTGATTTTGTCATTTCATGGGTGGTGGCGGTGGTGGTTGGGTGTTGTAACCAGGTCAAACTCTGTTTAAGTCCATCAATCCTATTCAGACAATTTGGATTTTATTTGATGATATGAAGTGCTTCCGGTGATATCAGACGTTCTTTGTGATTTCTGAAATGTTTCTGGATGATGATTTCAATATTGTCAAAATGAATTTTGTGGCCTAATTCTATAGTGTAGCGTGTAGACGACCTATGGCTGGCTGATGGTTTTTCAAGCTTTTCTAGTTCAACTGGATTAATTTCTCGGTGGTCGAACAGATTCTCTACGTTGTTCATTTCTTCTGATTTTGATTTCTCTCTGGTGATGTTTGTTTGATGTATTTCGCATCACATTCCAAGCAAGCATTTTATTTTATAGACACAATTAGATAGGGAATCTCTATCAATTTCTCGGTGTTCTTTTTGGGATTTGAAATCATATGAATCTTTTACAATATTTTGAGTGTCCTTTTGTAGTGGTTGTAGTATTTGGAGAGGTTGTGTGACGGTGAGTTGATGAAATCTACTATTGGTCTTTTCGGAACTGTGGGTTTATGTATCTTCGGTTTACCTTAGAATCTTTGAGGTACACAAGATTTCGGTTTTAGTTTAAACCGGAGAGAATTTCCAATTTTAGGTTTTATTTCTTGAAGGAGTCTGTTGGTATTTAGTCTCATTTTTTTGGAATTCGGCTGATTCCCTCTTTTCTTCAATGAGTACGTGGGGTCCTTCGGAAAGGTGTTGTCAAAGATTCATATTATTTCAAATCCCAAATAGAGCACCGTGAAACTGATAAACAAGACATCATGGTAAGCTATGATATTAACTCATTATATACTAGTATCCCAATTACTGAAAGTCTTGATATCATTTCCAGTCTACTAGAATCAGAAACAACACAAACAATCACAAAGATATCCACTGGACAACAGTGAAATAATTAAGAGCTGAAAATTCTGTCTAGAAAGTAATTATTTTACATTTAAATTGAATTTATATAGACAGACAAATGGTGTTGCTATGGCTTCACCAGTTTCCCCAATAGTCGCTGATCTTTTCATGAACAGATTCGAAGATGATGTCTTTTCAAGCAAACTCACTCCTAAAATATGGTTAAGATATGTTGATGATAGTTTTATAGTGCTAAAACAAGATCTACAAAGTTCATTCCTGGAGAAAATCAGCTGTCTATCTCCCAGAATCCAGTTTGCTTCGGAAGCAGAATCAGACGTCGGTGAACTACCATTTCTAGACTACCTGGCTAGTTAAGAGGAGGGAAAACGGGCATTTTAGTACATCAATATTCAGGAAGAAAATTCACGTGTTAGAAAACATCATCCAGCATGGCTGCAAAGAGGAGCCACTAGTTCAATTAGAAGCGCCATAAGTGAGCACCTCGTGAATACCTATCACAGCATCTCAACTGACTCACTATTCAGAGTCATTTACAAAGTAAACAAAAGTCTACCAAAGGCAGTGTTTTTCTGACTTCTTTGTACTACAGAAGCTCTCGCCATATGCATCGAAAAGCTGGAGCTGTGTGTTCAAAGGAAATTAGTTCAGCCTTTACAACTACCGTGGACCTAATTCGATATGTTCCCTAGGCCTTCAGTTTTTTGTTTTGTTCGCTGTGTGTGTGTATTTTTCTCTCTTTGTCTTCATTCAACTCATCCCTTTTTTTCAGTTATAAAATCAGTTTAGTTTGTTTCCATGCTCCTCCTGATCACACTTGTAATCCGTTTAGAATAACTATGTTACAATTATATTCTAATCCTGTGTAATTTTTTGTTTCTGTGCTTCTTCTAATCTATATTCACACCTCCTAACTTGCATCTCAAGTTGAAAATTATTATCACCTTCATTACTAGCTGGAATTAAACAAATAATAATTGTGTCCATGTAAACTTATGTGTATAAATGCGATTGTACAGCTTTTGAGAATGAAATAGCCGAAAAGACAGATATCTTTGCTGAACTTCTTATTCTTTTACCTTTAATATCAATTTTAGTCATACAGTTTCTGTCTCTCCAACTTTCCTTTGTTGTTTGTTACCACTCCGGTATAGGCGTTGCGTCATTCCGATGGCACGTGTGCGGTGTTGAATTGATAAGCAAAGCTTCAGCGATTAACCTCTCTCTCCACCTATCTATATTACTTCTTAATGCTCTCACCCTCTCCCACTCTCCCTATTTTGTGATTACGAGTAAGTGAATGCAGTGCAGTGCAATGGCTGAGCTTTTTTATAGGCTTCTTAAATTAGCAAGGACAGTCATTCTATGTCTAGCTAAATTTTCCTCTTCCAATAATCTACTTGACCCCGATCTACTAGTTTAACTGACCTATGTAATTGACCACACAGTCAGCATTACATGGTATTCGGTAAATTATATTATTTTTCTTAATTGGATCTGTTATGAGCAATAATTTGTGCATCAAACGTCATCCACTTGTTAATATTGCATCGATGTATGATATTTAAAATAAACCTATCTAATTTGGAGTGAAACAGGGTTGTCCAATGAGGTTATTTCATGACCACAGAGTAAAGTGGATCCAAATCTGAGAAAAAAAAACACTTCTACCTCTGTAGTCATTGACTTAAAAAAAATGTTGACTTGAATTTTAGGCCACTTCTTATCAGTCTGCACACACCACGATAGTATTATAGTTGGATTCTTAATAGGATGTCATGAGTACCGTCTGTTGTTCACAAATATGCTAAGGTGATAAAACCCATAGAGTGTGTTCGGAACTGAATCTAGTTAATAAATTTGATATGATTATGAGCAATAGTTTGTGCTCGAAACGTCATCAGTTAATATAACTGTACAACACTATGTGATTTATCAAAACAAAATCTTATCCATTATGGAGTCATACTCTACCACAGTGCCCAAGTTTTATAGTTATATCAATATGTCAATGGGTCGTATACCAAATAAGTCTATCTAATACAGAATAGTATGACTCTTTCCTATTTCCCTTTGTCATTTATTAATTTCATTTTCTCTCCTAATATGACTATAGTGAAAAATCAAGTTATTCACTTTCAGTTCAAACATAAAGTGACAGAACTAAAGCATTTAACAAAAAAATTAATCAGACGTCTTTGTTCACATTTCTTTGCGTTCCGAGTAGAATACAAAGCCTCAATCTTTGATGTTTCAATAGCTGTGATGTTGATATTAATGGTTTAGTTTGACAGCTTGACGCCTAACCTTCCCGGTACTTTGACTTCAGCTGTTTTCAAACACTTCATCAAATGCTGCATCACGAGATTCGTCAATCGCCTTTCTGTACAACATGTGTATTCGCTTCCATATTATTATTATTATTATTATTTCCTTTAATTCCTGGAGGAACATAGGGCTTCAGCCATGCGTCTCCATTGCGTTCGGTTCTCTGCTGTAGTTTTCACCTGGCTCCAAGTCTGTCCACACGCTTTCAATTCCTCTTCACATGATCTCCTCCAGGTCACCCTTGGACGACCAACTCGTCGCTTCCCTTTCGGGTTCCACTCGAGGGCTTGTCTAGTGATGTCACTTGCTGGTTTCCTCAGAGTGTGTCCAATCCATCTCCATTTCTTCCTGCCTATTTGTTTCACGATCGGTTCCTGGTTGGTTCGCTCCCAGAGATTTTTGTTGCTGATCCTCTCCGGCCATTTGATCTTGAGTATTGAGCGAAGGCATTTGTTAATGAAGGTCTGTAGCTGCTCTTTGTGACACGCCAAGTCTCTGATCCGTATAGTAGTACTGAGTTCACATTGGAGTTGAAAATACGGATCTTATTTTTGACGCTGAATGCTGTTGACCTCCACACAGACTTGAGAGAAATGAAAACTTGTCTTGCTTTTCCGATTCTGGCTTTGATATCCTCGTCAGTTCCTCCTGTAGTTGAGACGATGCTTCTCAGGTAGGTGAAAGAAGTTGTTTCCTTCAGGTTCCTCCCATTTATGCTGATTGTTGTCGGTTGTTGCTGTTGATGTTGGCCAGGGATCTTCATCACCTCTGTTTTCTCTATGTTCACCTGGAGTCCTATCTTTGCTGCTTCTTCTGCCAATTTGTTGCTTTTCACTTGCATATCTTCCAGTTTGTGGGAAATCAGACATATATCATCGGCGAAATCCAAATCCTCCAAGGCTTTTGTGTCGGTCCATTTTATGCCTGTTCCCTCGTTGCTCGCCGTTGTCTGCCGCATTATCCAATCAACTGCAATCAGGGAGATCATTGGTGACAGTAGACAGCCTTGTCTCACTCCCGTCCTCACTTCGAAGGATTCCGTGAGCCTCCCGTTGTGGATTACTTGGCATGCAGCGTTGTCATACAGCTGTTGGATGAGATGTATAATTGTCAGCGGCACCCCGTAGTAGCGAAGTAGTTGCCAAATCACCTCTCGATCGACGCTGTCAAAGGCCTTTTCAAAGTCGATGAAGTTGAGATAGAGAGGTGACTGCCATTCCAAACTTTGTTCAATGATAATCCGTAGGGTGGCGATTTGGTCAATGCATGACTTGTTCCTCCTGAATCCGGCCTGTTCCGGACGAAGTTTTTCATCTAGGGCTTGTTTAATTCTCTCCAGGATGATGCGACATAGTATCTTGCTTGGAATGGACAGAAGCATAATTCCACGCCAGTTTTTACATTGACTCAAATCTCCTTTCTTTGGCAGTTTGAATAAGTATCCGTTCTTCCAATCCTCGGGTACTTTGCCCTCTTTCCACACCTTCTCTAGTAATGGCGTCATCAAGTCCGCTGTTGTCTCTGGGTCTATTTTCAAAGCTTCTGCTGGGATTCCATCTGGTCCAGGCGCTTTCCCAGCTTTTAGCATCTTGATGGCATTCAGGACTTCGGATTTCGTCGGAGGGTCGATGTTCATTGGTAGTTCTGCTTCCGTTGTTGGTATTGTTGGACGCGTTGTAGGTGGCGCTTCCATAAACACACTCGAATTTTGTCCCGCGTGTACTGCTTTCTAAACTTTCCGGATATCTCCTATATATAGATCTTCTCTGTTACTGATGAGTATAACCAACTGAAGCATTCTTCTTCGTGCGGGATATAACAATGGTATGAGAGCTGTATGTGTGAACACGAATTTTCAAACAAATTTAGCTTCGAAATAAAGAAATGGGAACAATTGTGAAGTATTTATTAATACAGAAATTCGCAATTGTCTACACGAAGCGGCAAAGTAAAATAATAATAATATCTCCTCACTTTCTATACATGAGGAACACCAGTTAACAGAAATCATCAATGTGATAAATTACATATACGATTAGTAAGCATATTTAATAAAGATATTATAACAAAATGGATATTTATTCGTATCCATGTAGGTGCAAGAGTGTATGGGTCAGGAATCGAACCCGCTATCACACTACCATGTTTCTTAATATTGTAACAACAGAAAGCAAGACACGGAAACCAAAGTATTTTTTTCATTGATCAAACCGCTGTTTATATATCTACAGTTTATATTCGTTAACCAATCACTGAGCTTGTGATTTCGGTTTACATGAAATATAGTATTTTTTTTGTTAATGCAGTATATAACCGTGGGAAATGTATTCTGTCTAACATCAAATCGAATGTTCAAAAAGATATATTGTATGCAGTATTGAACTGTGGGAATATGTGAGCATAACATTCCGTTGGCAGACATTGTCTGTATCACACCACGACAATATTAGCTCAGCATTTATCTTTGAACATACAGAGTACAGCTGAGTGGTCATCAGATCTTCCAGAAAAAAAAGGAAGACCGGAGAAATACGAGAGATTGGTTTCATTTTTTAATGTTTGGCTACAAAATTCACCACTGTTCTCCCTAGATAGCAGTTTTTAATTGATTACTTATGATTCAAAGGCTATGTCATAGACCAAATAAAATGAAACCGTTTTTCCACGTAGATATGCCATCTAACTCATTGAATCACTTGATTCCATATGGGTGCGTGAAGGGTTGATATAGACCATGTTATAAGTTAACAATTGCACATTTCCTTCATATTTTCACCAAGAATTTGATATGAATCATCACATCGTTGAACATCCTCCTCATCTAGAATACTAGTTTTGTTGAGGTGTGAAACAGATAAAGTGTTCCCACGATGTATTATTCTCACAGTAAGAATCATTGTATTTGTTGATTTTAAAGTCTGGATACTATTCCCACAGTTTAATACTGCATTAGCAGGAGAATACTATACAAAAAATATATTTAAACATTCTATCTCATGTCGTTTAATTTAAACAAAAGTAACACGCTCAGTGATTGGTTAAAGAATATGAATTGTGTATATAGATGGCGGCAAAATCAATTGAAAATATACCTCTTACTTCCGTGTCTTGCCTGCTGTTGTTACAGTTTCTCAAATGTGTTTAACGCTATTACAAACTAATAAATCACTATTAAACTCTATTACTATGGTTATAAGGATCTGTTCGGAAGTTTATTCAAACAAACTGGCCTTCAACCTTATATAATGAGTATTTATTTGGTGGATGGTGACTAGCTGTGGAATCCAGGATAACGCGCATTTCGTCCTATTTGGGGCTCGTCATCTGGATGTACCTGCATTTCTCAGTGAGTGATGATGTTCCCACGAGTCCCAAATAGGACGAAATGCGCATCCGGGATTCCACTGCTGGTCACCATCCACCAATTAAATACTAATTAAATGCCCAGACATCGTCGTAGCATCTGCTCAAGAAGCCGACATGTCAACCTGAGACCGAGCACTTCGGTCCAATCAATCGACGGGAAAATCTAAAATTCAATTAAACTTATATAATGAGATTTATTTGATAGTTTTCAAATTTTTTGCACATTCCCTGCGGAAATGTTAACTGAAAGTTTGAATTTATGTTGCATTTACTGGGTCTTTTGATAAAATTTCTACAATAATCCCGTAACAGATGTTTTATACAATTAAAAGTTAGTCAAAAACATGGGATATCTACGATAGTCTAAGGCAAACTTCAACAATAGCGTCGAAATGGATGCCAACACACGGGTGACCTTGAGCCGACCAATCATAAAAATGAGGAATTTTTGCATAAAATGTAATATATTTGCAAGAAAATGCATGAAAACGCGTTAAACAAGTTATCTTTTTCTGACATGACTTAAAAATACGTCCCAGTTATGATGAGGAGTATCAGTTGCTAAGTTAGACTAGTTTCTCTACATGTGTTCACCAAGATTACTGAAGATGAGCTGTTTTGTGAATCGTTCATCTCTCTTATCTTGTTGAGCAGTCTTCCCCAAAGCCCTCGGTTAAAATTACTATGGTTTCCAGTAAAAAAGATCGACGACTACTTACCAGGAAAATGTGGATAATAAAACAAATTAATATAAATGACATCAACTATAAATCTACCCGTAACTGTAACCCTAACCTTAATCCTGACCGTAACACTAACTCTAACCTTAATCCTTACTCTAATCATAACCCTTATTCATACCGTAATTCTAACGCTAATGCTGGTTATAACCCTGATCCTAAACCTAACGAGTTATTAATACATTGCCCAAACAGTACTTAAAAACGTTATCTGGGTGAAATTTGCTGCTTAGCTGGTGAATAGTGTTGATATTTCAATTATGATAGTGACAGGTGCCATTAGCCAATGACTAGCATGCGTTCAAGGTCATTGGAGCGTTTACACTCCTGGGAGGCTATTGTTGAACTTCGCTCAGTCGAAAACGTTACAATTCTGAAATCTAAACTTCTATTAATCTCGTGTTTAAATGAAGACTTGACAAATCAAATGTATGCATTGAGAAATGAACCTTGTGATTTGGTTCATTGACTTTTTCAACACCTTTTTCTCCATCATGTCCGTTTTTAAAAGTTTTCTACCTCAAGCTAATAAATAATTAAAGTACTTTTCAGAGGGTTTAATCGATCTTAAACAAAATGATTTTCTATGAAGTATCTTGAAAAATCTGTAAAAAAAAATGAGATGTTGAAAAGTTAGCTTACAGCTTTTTCATTTTGAATTTGCATAATTTTTAAATCCATAAGACGATCTTTTTCTTTTTCAATTTCCCTTCGCCTCTTTAATTCTTCATTGGCTATATTCAATTCTGTTCTGTGCTTTTCTTGAATTCTTTTTTTCTCCTCTCTGTTAACAATTTCTTTCATGCGTTCTTCAGCGATACGTTGGGTAACTAAAGCATTTTCTTGTTCAGCACGTTCCAGCTCCAATAGACGATCTTGTTTATTTTGTTCTATTTGTTCCAAAACCATACAAGCACCAAGCATTTCCTGTAAAAAGGGAGTTAGCAGGCTTTCGTGTTACGTATATATATATATATATATATATATATATATATATATATATATATATATAGAAAACCATTGTAAAACCTGGAAGTACTAGACAGCTGTTTTCCAGTGGTTCTCTAATCACTGTCAGCTCATGATGAAATCCTGCAACCAATCAAATAAAATCCCTGAAAACTAACATTTGAATATCAATCTCATGCTGACTAGCGACTAGCCCTATTCAGGTAGGTAGTTACTTTGTTTCTACTTACTAAGAAGTCATAACCAGTGGGGTACAGCACGTTAGATGTGAGGGCAGATACTCACCGATGACACTGGCTAGTGGTCACGCTTTATCGTGAATTCGTGGAAGTTGGAATTCATGGAGTGGCCACTGGATCAGGTCCCCGTGGCTTAATGGTCGACAAGCTCGCCTTGTGATCAGAAAGTCCCGGGTTCGAGCCCTGGAGGTGGGTGTATACTGATGAAGAGTCCCGAAATAGGATGAAATCCTGTAACCAACCAGATCAAATCCATGCAAACCAACACTTGAATATTAATAAATTATTATTCATATTGTCTTTGCTAAACTAGAAGATAAGAGAGTAGTTATTCCCATGTGAATCACACCCGAAATTGATCAGCCTCATTTAAAACATGAACACATGGCATTGCTGAATGAAATAAGAAGCCATACAAAGTATTTTGAAAATTACCGCAGATTTTATTTTGTAAATATCTATAGCAACGTAGTGTGTTAAGTGTATGTATCAATGTATCAATCTTGGAATGAACAATTATATGATAATCTACGTCTTCTTGTTTTCTCAGTCTATTATAAGAGTAACAATCTAATTTGCTCTTATTCAAGCGAAGTTTTATTGCATTTAAAAAGTACTTTATGCAAATTATTCTTGTGACTGCCAAATACGAATCATTTTGAATACATCAGTCATTTTTCCTATCCCACAAAAGCATAGGTCTCTAACATATGCAGTGCATCGGTGGTAAAGCGATTAAGACACTCGCCGACCACGCACATGGTCCGGGGTTCCATCCCCCGCCGATGCACTCCTTTACCTCGCTGAGCCAGTAAGAAGACTGGTAAAGAGGAAAGGTTAGGCATGAGGCTAGCAACCCCATCCTGTAAAAATAAACACTGCTACAGAAACTTCAAGCCTCTATGTTGAAGCCCTATGTTCCACTAGTAACGTGAAGGAACACACATATACAAGACCAGTTAAAACTGGCGAATGTAATGTGTTTAAGAAAATGCATTGTATCACATTTAACTACTTCTGAATTCATTTAACACATTCCTACTAATAAGAAAGTAAATTCAGTGAATGCTGGGGAAAAAATACTGATGGCATTTAATGAAAAGGTAGATGAGCCAGTCCATGTTCAAGAAAGAATTTCGCAAGAGAACACTAATAGCTGTGGACATTCATTTTTGATACGTTCACCTTTAACACGAGTCGACATAAGTGAAAACATACATAGGATCGCAGAATCCACATGATGTTTCAAGTATCTGTGTCTTTTTATCAGCTTGTAACCTACCAGAGAATGAAGTCAGCAATGAAGAAAACAAGACAAATTCAACGAGGAAAATTATCTTTATCGACGAAATCATCTTCAGTACATCTTCAGTACAGTCGTATTTATACTTACCAAAAAATATATAGCGGTCTATTATTGAGTTATAGGGGGTGACATAATTGATATAATTACTCAGAAGTGGGTTTCGAAGTGAAAATTAAAAGTTGTAAATTACGTGGTACTCAACGACACAAAGATAGAAATTTGATAAGGTCAAAATTGCTATTGAGAGAGAATAAAGCTGGTAGTCGAGTGTCAATTTAACAAGTAGGAAGAGAGTAAATCCTGAATGAACCCAGACGGTGCCGAAGAAACTGCTATTTATGAGTGTGGTATGTAAAGGTGATACCGCAGCTGAGATCCTGAATAATCGCTTATGCAGATCACTGAGGAAAGCCTTCTTTATGGCTGAGCTACGTATCAATTTCTACAGCCGACAAATGATCAATGGATGTGTGAAGGATAAACTGCCGATTTGGGACACCTCAATATGTGTTTATAAATTCACCTGCTCGTGTGGAGCTAGTTATATTGTCCTCACAAAACGCACGCCTTCCAAACGCATCTCTGAACATTATCCGCCATGGTTACCAAAGGGACAATGCAAGACAATTAGTAGCTCAATCCTTGAGATTTCGCTGAACTCGGGCCACGTAGCTTAATCAAAGTCGTCTTTCAAGATCATCTACAAGATGTAGTCAAATGGTACAAAGGGCGTAAGGTTTCAGCTTTTATGCATGGCGGAGGCGCTGGCAATTCTTCAAAACAACCCCAAACTCTGTATACAGAAAAAGTTTGTACAGCCTTTTAGTCTACCTTGGTCTTAGCCTCTTCACCAGTCGTTCTCTGTTAAAAATAATTTTTTAAATTTCCAATATCACTTTTAGTTTGCTTTTACTTTAATAATTAATTCACTATTATCACTCTCTCATATGTTCCTTTTGTACATTTTCACACCCTCTTTACACTTGTTAAATTGACACTCGACTACCAGCTTTATTCTCACTCAATAGCAATTTTAACCTTATCAAATATCTATCTTTGTTCCGTTGAGTACCACGTAATTTACAACTTTTAATTTTCACTTTTAAAGCCACTTCTGAGTAATTATATCAATTATATCACCCCCTACTACTCAATAATAGACTACTATACATTTCTGGTAAACATAAATTCGACTCTACGGCAGCCTCTGAAGATGATTTTGTCGATAAAGAAAATTTTCTTCTTTGAATTTGTCCTTTATTTTCTTCATGTCTCAATGGGTATTTTCGGTGATTTAAATTTAGCAATCTCAAATGAATTACTGAATAAGACAGTCATGAAAAAAGACTTTAGATATGTTTAACAATCAATATTTCACAACACCTCAATTTGAAGTTATCGTATAAATAAATGAGATTTCTAGAATATTATCAATAATTGGATATGTTTCAATACAAAACAATACAGTTTTCTGTTCAGCGAAGAAATATCTCCTTTCAATGACTTCATTTTCAAACTAACTGTACAGTCGTATCCATATTACGGAAAAAGAAGGCACTAAGTGGCACTAGAAATCGCTCACTCAATATCTCACATATGATGATAAGAATTAGGATAGTTAAAATGATGTGCTGAAGGAGGTAGAGTTGAAGTGGATGAATTACAAAAAAAAAACTTTCAAAGATTATTAAATAAGTGAATCGGTATACAGATTATTTTAAAATTGCAGGTCAAGTGTTGTCTGAGAAATTAACAGTACCATGATGACATCAATAAAGATGGTGACGGTAACGGTAACGGTGACGGTGAAGTGAAGTGAAGTGGAATGAATTCAAGTGGTAAAATAGAATAAAATAGAAGAACATTACTATGAACAAGGTAAAGAAAGGGGTTTGATAAGGTATTTTGGAATACATAATTTTTTGAATTTTGTCCATGAATAGATAGTTAGCTAGAGCTTCGATTATGTATGCATAAGTGGAGAAAACGTGACCTTTTGGAGTGATTGGATTAGGTAGGTCCTGTAGATAACCTTTAAGGATAAATCACAGACAAATCACTTACAATTTTAAAATCTTTACACCAGTTCACTTGTTTAACAATCTTTGAAAGTGTTATAATTCACCACTTCAACTCTACCCCCTAAGTACACCACTTTAATTATCTTTATTCTTATCACCATTTCTAGTGGCACCTAATGCCTCCTTTTTCCGTAATATGAATACGACTGTACAATTAGTTTGAAAATGAAGTCGTTGAAAAGAGATATTTCTTCGCTGAACTGATGAGTATATTTCGTGATTTGAAACCACCAATCAGAAGACTGTGTTTGTTTGCTTAAAATAATCTATAATAATGTACATGAAAATCTATAAATATCTGTTTCTTTCGTAAAAAAACGATCTGTTGCCTGGCCCTTGTCTTATGTTGTTACACTGGCACAAAATCCTACCCTTCTCCATGCAAAGCGAAATATTAAGTCGCATCATCCTGGAGAGATGACATGGATTCAGAAATCCGACCAGAACAAACTGTATTCAGGAAAAGCAGATCATGCACCGATCAAATAGCAACTCTATGCGTCACTATCATGCAGAGCATAGAATGCAAGTCAGATCTCCATCTCAGTCTTATCGACTTTGAAAAGGCCTTCGACAGGGCTGACTGCGAAGTAATACGGAAATACTTCAACACTCTTAGATGCAATGATCCAAATGTTCATCAACTTCGTTCAACAGCTGGCTATATGACAATGCCACATGTCGAGTTATCAACAACAGAAAACTCAGAGAGGCGTTCGAAGTGAAGGAGGGAGTAAGACAATCTGGCTGCCTACTATCACCGATGATACTCTTAATTGTGGTGGACTGGATTGTGCAGCAGACTGTTCATGAGTTGTGAGAACACAGGAAATCGTTGCACTAACAGGAACACTCTACGTGGTCTGGATTTCGTGAACGATTTATATCTTATGTCGAAAAAACTTGAAGAATTTCAGGCGAAAACCAACAAGTTGGCAGAAGAAGCAGGCAGCGAAGACAGGACTCCAAGTGAATATGGAGAAGACAGAGATGATGAAGATAACCAACCAATAATAATAATAATAACAACAATAAGCATCAATCACTATCAATAGAAGCAATTCGGAAAACGTCAATTCCCTAACCTGTCTAGGCAGCGTCATTTCAAACACAAGCAGCTGGCACGGATGAGAATGCCAAAAACAGCCAGGATTGGAAGAGTAAGGCAGACCTCCATCATTGTCAAATCAGTTTGGAAATATTCTAAACTGTTCAAAGGCGACGAAATTCGGGTTTCCAACACCAAAGTGAAGTCAGTGTGTCAGTTCTTCTCTGTGGGTCAAAAACTTGACGTGCTCATTAAGAAAAGCCATTCTAAGAGGCAACTGTAGACTCTTGTCAACATCTGCCACCTTCTCTGGCTCCATACCTGGAATACCAGATGGCCAGAAACAATAAGCAATAAGGAACTCTGGGAATGAGCCAGTCAAGAACCTGTTGTCCAACAAACATTCCGAGGAACACAGCGGTGGATCAAACTCACGCTGAGGAGATCGTTGGGTGACACTGTGCGTTAGTCAGGCCCTCAAGTGGATACTGAACAGGAAACAAAGAGTTGGACGTGGGTCCAAGGGTGATATGAAGGAGATCGCATGAGGAGGACATGACATTTCATGAACAATCGTAGTGTCAGTTAAAGAGGACCGCAGAAAACAGGGAAAAATGGATCTGTGCTGTTGAAAGCTATATTCCACTCAGAACCCAAGAGAATAATAATAATCTTATAATTTAGAAGAAGAACCTTAATAAATATCGACATAATGAGCTGCAAGTTACACCACGCTTTATAAAATCCGAGAATACTGAGGAACTGAAAATTAATTTGATATCAGTTAGAGCATCATTTAAGGACTCATTACAATAATAATAAAGAAACTAAGAATATTCACCTGTTCTTTGCGTCTTTTTTCAATTTCTTCTTGTATATGAATAGCATTCTGTCGGGCTAATTCCATCATATTATCCAAGCGTAACTCTTCAGCCGCCATTTCTTTTTTAATCTGTCCTTTCTCTAAAATCTGTTCATCTCTAATTGCTTGTATTTTAGCATTCAGAATCCATTCATTTAAAGCCTTTATTTCATCTTCTTGATCTTGTCTTTGTTCAAGAGCTTTCTGTAGTAAAACTTCCGCTTGTTTTCTTGTCTCTTCTTCTAAATCTGTCAAGCGTTCATTTCGTGCCCGGTTCAAATCGTATTCACGCATCTTCTGCTTACGCTGTTGTGATTCTTCCTGAAAGAAAATGTTGAACGAAGATCATGAAATAAAATTCATCTTAAATGCACGCATTTCAACAATCCTGTTACTTAACATAGTAGACACCTCGAATAAGACTTTTAATTTCAAAATATTACACACAATCCGAATTGATTATAGTGAATTTTTTGATTGTCTGTCTGTTTTCGACATAAAACTTTGCACATAAGTGCGGCAGTTCAAGTCGCCACACTCCATGTGGCACACAAAGCAAGAGAAGAAAGTAGGAGAAATGCACAACAGAGACAGTAAACAGATGTGTGACACAAAGGATTAGTAATAACGAAGAACAAAACAGTTTCATTGGAAATCATAAGTCATAAGGAGTGAATGCATCTGCGCCAGCCATTGAGAACGATTTTGAGCCATGTCACCAATTATTTCTAACCATTGGTTTTTACCGTCCCGAGGACCCCAACCAGGAAGCCAGTCTACATATTCCTACGTGGCTTAAACTAACTGTTGTGGATTTCATTGACCGGTGCCATGTTTTAGTTTGACCGCCGCTAGCTCTTTTCCAGCCTGACCCTATATCAGCTGACATTGCCCATTGTCGAGGAAGGCGATGACTAGGCATTTGTAACACATGTCCTAACCATCTCAGCCGATGTAATTTCACAGTCTCGTCGACTGATTTCCCCTCCTTACCTAGCACTCGACGCCTAACCTCACTATTGCTCACCTTATCATACCACTTCACGCGGGAGATAGAACGCAGGCACCTATGACCAAAGACAGCTAATCTTTTCATGTCTCCTGCTCTCAATGGCCAGGTCTCACAGCCATAAAGGAGGGCGGAGCGGACTGATGAGCAGTACACACGCCCTTTGGTCGGTAGTCAGATATCGCGTCAACGCCAGAGATGGCGTAAACTGGCATATGCAAAACTAGCCCTCTGTAACCGTGCTGAGATTTCGTCAGAGATCAACCCGTTGGGGCTGATGGTACTTCCCAAGTAAGTGAAGCGGTCAAAGTGCTCTACCACTTCACTCCCTATTTCTAATCTAGGAGTCGGTGTAGTCCAATCCTGTAACATCACCTTGCATTTGGCGGGAGCGAATCGAAGGCCAAACATTCGAAGATTGCAGCTCAAGGTGTTCAGAAGACTCTGCATTTTGTCAGTGTCCTCGCCAAGAAGGACTATATCGTCCGCATATTCTAAGTCAACGATATTATTCCCTGGTAGCAAGTCAATCCCTGAGTCTCTGAATTGAGTTAGAGTTAAGTCCATTAGTACATCAATGATGAAGTTGAATAGAAATGGGGATAATGGGCATCCTTGACGGACGCCACTAGGCGTCACCCCTTCAGATGACAACTCGCCGTAAGCGCTCACGTGGCTGCATGAGTACGGGTAGAGAATCAGTTATTATCGACTGCATGAAATAAATGTTAAAAGCACATTTATATTACCTCTCATTAGCTTTCAAATAAAATTCCCTGCAATGCTGGAAGGAAGTGAAGGGAAAACATTGTAGAGAATGGGATCTTTGTTCATGTGGGGCAACACTGCTTCACATAATATACTGTGAATTATTATTTTACTTGCAGAAATTTACAATTAAATTATTTGCACAGTTGGGTCTCAGTGAATCTATGCGAATTGCTGTTAAGAATCAGATTTTTTTAAACAGATTATTAATCTGGATTCCAGTAATGCATCGAAATCCAGTGAAGGCATTATTTGTGCATAACTAAGTGGTATGATCAGTTCAAGTAAAGAGATTTTCACTCCAGTTTCTCGTATCTCAGAGGAGAAAGAAGAAGAATTCACTCCATATCCCTCTGAAGATATTTTGAACTCAGTTGGTGATTTTCAATTCACTTCATATAATTCTCAGGTATTGGTTTTGTAGGGATTGTGTTTGATTGGTCGGAGGGTGTCATCATGAGCTGACATCAGTTATAGAACCATTGGAAAACCTGGGAGTACTAGACAGCAGGTTGAAGGTGAGGACAGTCACTTCTCGAAGAGGACATTGCGAATTGGTCGCGCTATGTCGTGAATTGATAAAAGTTAGAATCCATGGGCCATTGGATCGGGTCCCAGTTGCTTAGTGGTCTGCGAGATCCCCTTGTAACCAGAAGGTCCTGGGTTCGAACCCCGATGTGTGCGTACTCTTGAAGAGCCCCAAATTCGAACGAAACAGCTGTCCAGTACTCCCTGCAGGTTTTCCAATGGTTCTCTAACTGATGTCAGCTCATGATGAAACCCTCCAACCAATCACTTCATAAAGATTTATGTTACCCTACCAATCGTTATGATTTGGATCTATTGGGCATTGACTGGATTAATAAAATATTCTTTTAGGAAATGCTTTTTTGTGACATTGATTTTGACAGAATAAAGTGAATTTTTCGTAAAGTGTTTTGGGAATTCTCATTTGTGTTCAGTATCCACCAAAAATGTTTAATTCTGACAAAGGAATAATGCGATGAATTCTTTACTCTTCCTGGTAAAGTTAACCGTGCACCAAGAAAAGATCCCACACTATTTCAAGAAGGAGGTGTCATAAACCGACCTAAATATATCTCCCAGTAATCCACCAACTGAAAGTCTATTAAAACGGAAAGGTGTCAGGACGGACAATATATCATTGTTAGCTGTAAAGTCATGATTGATGCAATCATGGTTTAAATTTCCTTGGATATCTAAGCGATATATTCTTTGTATTAGGAATAAAGGTTGTTGTTGTTGTTGTCGCAGTTAAATTTGTCTTCTGTGTCAATCTCAGTGTTGGGAATATTTTCAAATGATCAGTTGGCTAAAGTGTCGTGTCTGCAGTCGCAATCTAGTGATAAAGACAGACAGCAACCAGCATACACAACGAACACTCCGTTATAACAATCGCACAATTAATTCATTCACAAATCAATGAGTTATACTGGCTTGTCTGTTCACTTTCTAATTTTATGTACAGTAATATATAGATGAATTTATATTCAGTATTCTAACTCTGTTGGTTATTCCCATGTATGTGACAGTAACTAATTGTAAGTTTTTAATGTGTCTGAGTTCGCTTAAGGATTATAAAAACTAAGTACATTGTGTGTTTGATCTATACATCCATGTATTTACTGTCTGACTGACTACCTGGTTGTCTGAATTTCGATTATTACTATAACCTGTGTGGTTCTTGTTCGATTCTGGGTTAAAGTTTGAGTCAGTACCAAATTTGTGAAAATTACTTCTAAATTCGACTGCGAATTTAGCACACATATTGTCTGAAAAAAAGCTTTAATACTATCTCTGTACAACAGCATGACAATGTGTAAACTAAACAGTCTTCACAAAAATCATAGTATGCGCTTAATTTACTATTTCACGACTCAGTGTTCTTTAGTATTGTGGTGAGAGCTGTCTACTAGCCAAAATGGTAGACAATAATTTACGTCAACATTTACGTTCCCAAGATTTGTCGTGAGAAACAACCAATCGGAAGATTGTGTTTGTTTGTTTACATATCCATAAGAATGTACATGAAGTCGTGAGAAACAACCAATCGGAAGACTGTTTGTTTGTTTACGTATCCATAGTAATTTACATGAAAACATATGTAAATATGCGTTGATTTCCTTAATAAATGATCTGTTGCCTGACTCTTGCCTTCTGTCGTTATGCTATGACTGGGGCAAAGTTTTCAAGTTGACGAATAGTACTGTAAAGTGTTTAAAATACATGCGAAAAGCAGAACTACCTTTTCTCAATAATTAGCCCATTTTGTCTAGGCAAACAGTTGTATAAGGAAAAACGCAGTATTTATGTTTAGAGAAGAAATATCTCTTTTCAACGACTTCATTTTCAAACTAACTATACTGTCGTATTCATATTACGGAAAAAGGAGGCATTAAGTGGCACTAGAAATGATGATGATAAGAATAAAGATAATTAAAGTGGTGTACTTAGGGTTAGAGTTGAAGTGGATGAATTACAACACTTTCAAAGATTGTTAAACAAGTGGACTGGTATAAGGATTTTAAAATTGTAGGTGATTTGTCCGTGATTTATCCTTAAAGGTTATCTACAGGACCTACCTAATCCAATCACTCCGAAAGGTCACGTTCTCTCCACTTATGCATACATAATCGAAGCTCTAGCTATCCATCTATACATGGACAAAACCCAAAAAATTATGTATTCAAAAACCCCTTTCTTGTCTTGGTCATAGTAATATTCCTGTATTTTATTCTATTTTACCACTTGAATTCATTCCACTTCACTTCACTTCACCGTCACCGTTACCGTTACCGTCACCGTCTTTATTTGTTATCATCATCGTACTGTTAATTTTTCAGACAACACTTGACCTGCAATTTTAAAATAATCTGTATACCGATTCACTTATTAAATAATCTTTGAAAGTTTTTTTTTTGTAATTCATCCACTTCAACTCTACCCTCTTCAGAACATCATTTTAACTATCCTTATTCTTATCATCATATGTGAGATATTGACTGAGTGATTTCTAGTGCCACTTAATGCCTCCTTTTTCCGTAATATGAATACGACTGTACAGTTAGTTTGAAAATGAAGTCGTTGAGAAGAGATATTTCTTCGCTGAATTAATGAGTATATTTCGTGATTTGAAAAGAGATGAAAGATTAACATTCAGCTAGAAACCACCAATCAGAAGACTGTGTTTATTTGCTTACAATAATCTATAATAATGTACATGAAAATCTATAAATATCTGTTGATTTCCTAAATAAACGATCTGTTGCTTGGCCCTTGTCTTCTGTTGTTACAACAAGAATTTTTAAGTGGTATATTGGTGACGTCTTCTGCAAGAACCTTGAATAGTGAAGCTATGGGTTAGATTGGAAGGATGAGAAAGAAAGGTGATCGTGAAATAGTAAAGAAAACATGAAATGGAGATAAGCGAAGCAGCTCTATTGTGATCAATAGCCACTGGATTCCTGCTGAATAACTGCCTGCCTAATTTGTACCTTTATGGTTCTTGATTAAGTCCTTGTTA